ATCAGGCATTAAATTTTGATCCATTTAGTATGCGTCAGGTTGAATATCAATCCTTTTAGATTGTTGCACAGTAGCAACAGAGTATCTTTGTTATGCAAAATATTTCAGAATTACATCTTTTTTTTGATGGCATGAAGAAGTGAGATGAAAAGTTCTTTAATGCAAAATATATCATCATTAATACATTCAACAGTTAAACTCATAAGAAGCTAGATGCAATGCTAATCTGCATAGATGTTGTATATAGTGAAAATGACCTTTCGGAAAAGCGAACCAAGCTCAGGTCAATACGACACAGGGTAGAATCACAGAATCAACAGGTGGGAGGGGACTTGGTGAAGTCTCTAGTTCAATCTACTGCCAATGCACAGGCAGCTTGGAAATTGCACCAGATTGCTCAGGGCTTCATCTGGGTTGGTCCTGAAAACTTCCAAAGGTGGAGACTGCACAATGTGTCTGGGTAACCTGTTCCACTATGTGTCTGCCCTAAGAGAGAGAGTTTTTTCTTTATTTATGTTTTAATCTGTATTCTCCTTCTGATTAAAGGACTAGATCWGCGTGGATAAGACCTCTAGCCCTGCAGAAAGGGCACCTTTGCTGTTGTCATCTCGTTGTATAATAACAGAGTCTGCCAACCATAATTTCAGATTTGCAGATTAGCAAAGTCTTATGATCTGATTTACTCTCCTGCTTTGCTGGAGGCCATGCTAAAAAGCAAGTAGAGAAGCTTGCTGAAATGGTATAAACCCAAGCAGTGGTAAATACTTATCTACAGTGAATGCTGATTTTGGCTTGTTTCCAAATKAATGTTTTTGGATGGCTTACTTTATGCTGGAAATTGTTTGGTAAAGTTTATTGGTGAGCAGATGAATCAAAYTGACATTTCCATTACCAACAGGAGATCTGTCTGTGGTCAGAATTCATGGAGAAGAATGTGGGATGATAGCAAGACTATTCATTATGTTTAATATTGTCAGAGAAATGAAATAGCTCCTATTATTCATCTCCCTGGGATGGTAATGTATCTCTGAATATTAACACAAACCACTGGGATCTGATCAGAACCCACTGACCCAGCAAGGCTTTGATACGTATTTTAATCACACTCTTTGGGGCGCTGAGAAAATGTAATCTTYGCAGTAAATTCTCAAAAAGCTAAGTTCTAGTTTACATCTCAGTGTGGTATTTTGGTAAATGAGTGCATATTCTGTCCTCATGTATCCTGGTCTGGATCTCCCAGTATCACTCCCTTTTTCCTGTGGGACTAGCAGTAGGGCCATAGGGAGATCTGCAGTTCAGTGATTTGCTCATGAGATGAGAGTGGTTGAGACTTGCTCACATGCCATGCTCAGACTAAGCTTAACGGTGGTCATTCAAACAGGATATAAAATGAATAAAATGAAGTTKCAGCTTGGCAGGATTGCATTTGCCCCTTGCTGCAAGGTCCAAGTGGGAGCACTAGCTTCAGTTCCACCTCTGGCCTAGTTGAGGCAGAGACTGGTAGCTTAGTAGTAGGTCTCTGGCCCCAGTGAAGCTTGCAGTAGTTGTCCAAGTTGTCTCTTCATAGGAATTTGAGGTTTGGACCACACAGAGAAATCTGCTCATCTCATTGAGCTGCAAATTTAAATGCAACATCCAGCAGTTACCTCCACTTCTATAGTTTCACTTGCTTTCCAAATTGTCCATTTATTTTCTATAGCCCTTCTACTTGCTGGACACTTGTTTGCCTGTCAAAACTCCACGGGGGAGAAGATGCCCAGAAGGATTTCCAGATCATGGTGAATAAATAATCATGTGTAGGTGCCCGTAAATCAAAGAAATGGAAAAGGGGCTCCAAGGAGAAATTCACCTCGGGAGTCAGAGATTATAGATTTAGTGCAAAAATTACCAAAGCAAAGTTGAATTGAACTGTGCAAAGGGAATTAGGTATATAAATGAGTAGAGAACAAGTGTGGAGAAGSAGACATTCATGAAGGAAGAACAGGGAAGGGATTAATTGTAATCTAGGATAAGGCCTAAATCTTTATGACTGAGATTTCAGTAAAGATGTTGCTGGTGATAATAAAGATAAAACCAACATTGACAGTTGCCTAAGAGTATAGTATCATTTAGTTTAAAGTCATAAACCAGAGGAGCTAGTAGACTTATTTTGCATTACGTTTTCATCTAATAAAAGAGTATTATTATTGACAATATGAAGGGGTAACCATAAGGTTATAATATGTATGATTAAATGACTGTTTTTGACAGTAATTACACATTATAAATATTCATGAAAAGCCTGAAAAATGAATTGGCAATGTATGTAGATCGAAGCAAGCACACAGTAAACAACCCTCCATAATAGCATTAGAGAAACTATGCTATTTGTCTTCTTTATCCAATGATGCAGATTTAAACCAAGCTTCTGCAGCATTTTTAGTCTATACCTAGATGATCCTCCATGTTGTGCCTCTGGGAGAAGAAAACTTCATRATTTTTGTAGAGTGGCTCTGCAAGTAACTCCATTGCTGGTTGTTTGGATGATCTCCAGATTTTTATGGTACTACATAGTTTAATTTTCACAACAGATTTTATTAATTAGTTCCTGTTACTGGAAGACTCTCTGAAAAGGGATTTGACTCGATGACCTCCAGAAGTCCTTTCCAATCTAAATTATTCTTTGGTTCTGTGAACAGGACCCTCTGTTTAACATAACTTATCTGCTGTAGAATATATTCTGCCAACTAAACCSTACTGAGCCTCAGCACGGTGAACATTAATAGACTGCTTAATTATCTCAATCAATCAGAACAAACTACAGGTTGCCTGAGGCTGGGAAAAGTGTTCACGTCCTTACGCTTCTGACTGGCTATCTGCTCCTAGAAAATGACACTGGGGAAGACAGACTTTTGGACTAACCTGTGCAGTGGCTCTTATGCCCTCAGGTTATGTGTAAGGATGAATACAGAAGAGTGCATGCTACTTCAATTAGTGTTATAATAATGAATCTCTCCAACTGGAGAATATGGCTGAAGAATAATGAACGTAATACCTATAGTTAAGGAAAGAATAATTATTTGCTCTAGTATTGGCTCTCCAGGCCTTAAAGTGGCCTGAAGAGCCTCAAGGAAAAAAAAATAGCTAAATGTAGAATAGAATAAAATGTTGCATTTAGGGTTTTATGGACTATTCTGGTGCTTTTCATTGTGTATTTGACTGCTTTCTTTGTCTGTCTCTATATAGGTGAGGGTGGCAGGATTTTGGGAGAAGGATTTTTTAGACTGAGGCAATGTAGGCACAGAGCAAATCAGTCTGAATTGTCTGAGAAGAGTGATGGCTGAATGTTTTTGCTTGTCAGAGTAATAGGACTGGGTAACTGCCTTTCTGTATGAATACCAGCAGAACGACTTAAAGTCTTAGGACATGCGTGTAACAGGACACATTTGTTACGAGAACAGGATGCTAACCTGGAAAGACGAGATCATCTGGTCAGACTGGGCAGTTGTAGTTCAATCTGGTTAATCAGAAAGCTCTCCTGGAAAAACTATTAAGTCAAAAATATTGCAGATTTCTAAGCTGGAGTGATTCCTACCAAACCATATCCAGGAGAAAGATGATACTGAATACTGAAAGGGTCCCGGAATGACCAATGTCTGTCTGACAGGATTGTCTGTGAAGGCTTAGATTATCTTTTTTTATATATTTATAATAAATATATAATATATATATATATGCATATATAATACGTTTAAAGTGTTCTCCCCTTTTTCTCCATTATTATTAAGAAGAAGATAATATCCTGTGGTCCAGGGCAGAGCAAGCTTATCCTAAAGGTGAGTCTTTTGTCTGTCCCGCTAACCTCTGTGGCCTAGCAAGGAGAATTACAACAATGTGCAGGAGAGATGTGTCCCGATTTTTGAAGTAACTGCGTGTTGGGGTCAAGGAGTAACTGCTTCTAGGAAGTGTCAATGACACTGTGAAAGGGATGAGTGAACCAGAAGAACAAGGAAGTAGTATCTTCCATCAGTACTGAGCAAAATAGCACAAGGACATCCCTCCACCTCAGCTGTTCCTTACAAAACTGCCTGCAACTCCAGTCCCCTCAAATGAAGTCAGAGGTAGCCTGCAGCCACGTATGTGCCTCCTGCYCCGTGAGCAGAACCTCGTGGCCAAACTGTTGTTCATCTGTTGCTCTTTGCTGCATCCCAGCCATGGACAGGGGAGCTCCAGAGCCTTTTCCATGTCCCCTCCATTACCTAGGGTTGTCTTTCTCAAGGCASCATCCATAGCAACTCAGATCTGAGACAGCCTTTTCAGGGCAACTCAAGTATAGCAATGAGTGACAGTGTTGTCACATTTAGCACTATGAAGGTAGAGGAGCTTAACTGTAATCAAGTAGTATTTTTTCATAAATGTACTTACCTTAAAAGTACATGATCTCATACAGATAAACACTAACATACATAAAACTCAAGAAGCTGGACTTCTCACATATTCCTAGATGCTGGATTGTTACGTGAGAAAGGTGGTGTAGATAACCAGCAAYGAGCAGGGAAAACTTGCACCAGAGAGCACCATTTCATGTTAAGGCAGAGTGTGGTTGTCAGCATAGGTGAGCTGTTCTGTTTGCTCAGCTACCAGAGGTTGGGAAATARGAAGGTTACAGACTCCCACCTCTCTGTGGATTGTTCTGTTGATTATGTCTGCACTGATTGAGGGATATATGGTTCACCCTTGTATCCTTGGCTTCCTACTTACCTAGAATGCATGAGTGCCCTGCTGCTTTTGACCAGTCTCTGTGCCCTGTTTTCCTTCCCATACAATCCATGAYGCAGGAGGACAGGGTTGCTTGCTGCACAGCCAGTTCTCATCTTATTGTGTGTTCCAGTTGTTGTTTGATTTGATGTACAAAGTATTTTTAGGGGGGAAAAAAATGACAGGCAAAATTTTCTAACAAGTAATGTCTTTTAATGAATGATACACTCTAGAAAATAGAAACTAGCCAGATGCTGGTTGGTAGGTCTGTTTGGGGTGGGGGAAGGCCCTTGCCTGCGTATACAATGCCTTCTTTGGCTTTTTTTTTTTTTGGCAGCAACTGTAGTTATTGGAACCAAGGGAGCATCCATATATTGAAAGAGACACTAAGGGGACTTTTATTTTTTTCCAAAAATGTATAAAGTATACAGAATATTGTTCCACTGCCTTATCAGGTAAGAGTGACGTGAAGGGCTCAGAGCTCACCAGTGTGTTGACCTGGAAGGGACAGACCCAGCTAACTTGCCACAACGCAGTTCAGTGCTCTGAAGTCATCAGAGTGGTGTTTTTTTGTTTTGTTTTGTTTTTTTTTTGCAGATTTTGTAGACTCTGCTCTTATAGTACTTCTTCCCGGGCCCTTTTTTGAAAGTGTTGTGTCTCTTCCCTCAAGGTCTGACTGCTAATTCCAGGGAATATGCTTTTCAGAATGTCCYGGTAGACTGTGTACAACTCGGGGTCTAATTTGGGCTTGGGCAGAGACTGTGAGTTGCAGGCCTGTTCAGTGACCGAGTGCTGCAGCAAGTTCACATCACTGAAGAGCACAGTTAAGATTTTGTGTGCAGCTTTGTAAGGATCGTCTTCAAACTGYACCATTGCCTTGAGCTCGGTCAGGGTGTAGCCGTTGTAACGCTTGCTATCCTCTGCCAGGGGCTGCACGGTCTCACCAATGTGTCTCACTTTCCACTTCAAGCATTTGAGTTCTTCTCTTACATCTTCTAGTTCTTTCTCCATGGCTTGGAATTCCTTTGCAGTTACAAATCTCCTGTCAAGAAAAGAAGTGGTAGATGCAGTGTGGAATTCGCAGGTTCACTAGGGGGAAAATCAGCCCAGCTGGCTGGGGCTAGATCCCAGAAGTTGAGGTTTAGAACCTGCCATGCATTTTTTTCACTTTCAAGGATATGAGGTGACCTTAAAACTGCTGTGTTTAGAGAACTGAGAGTGACAATCTGGCCCAGACATAGTCTGTGATCAGGTCTGAATAGCCAAAGTAATGAATGGAAAGTATAGTATTTTGCTCCTCAGAGAACAGGTTTTCATGGGAACGTGCAGTCATTACTAGAAAGCAAACACTGAGAACATGTAAATCAGTAAATGTATTGAAAACATTCGATGAGCAGTTGCTAGATGACTCTACCAAGTTGAATTATGTAGTGACTTAAACACGAGTATGATCTCAATACATACCTTTCATGATCAGGTACTTCCAGGCCTGTTTCAAAACCCTTTCCTGTAGTCTTTAATTCGGCATTAGAATAATCAGGAGACTGGGAACTATCTTCAGGAGTTGTTGTTGGAGGCCTTGTGCTTTTCCTGGTTGGGGTCAGTGTGTGGTCTGATGTTGAAGCTTGTAAGTTTGGTGCTGTGTGAGGACAAAAGGAATAGAAGGAACTTGCATCGATCCCTGGACTGGTTGCAGAGGAGTCAGAGTATTGCTGTGGATTGGCTGAGCTGGGTGTTAGGCTGAGCCTGGGGCTGGCTGGGCAAGATGCTGAAGTTGTTCTTGCACTGAGTGGACTGGAACCCAATGTTGCTAAAATTGTATTTCTTTGCTCCGATGGTTGAGGACTTGGTGATTCTCCCAGGGCCAATCTAGTGATGGAGACAATGTCCAGCAGGGCTTGATCCTGAACTGTCGAGATCTGGCTGGCTGGTTTCGATGAAAGTGAAGAGCTTTTTGATGTGTTGCTGGAAGAGCTTGACGTAGTGAATGGGGGTATTTTCTGAGCGTTATGGTCTCTCCTGTTCCTCTGTGTGGTAGTGACACTTAGAGCTGGGTGTTGTGAAGCCCTGAGGAAAGATAAACAAATACTTTTTTTCCCTTGGACTGGATGAATGGCTTGTAAAGCACTACTTTAGGTCACTTCTAAGCCTTTTATTTTTTTCTCCCCACAGTCAGGTTCTCCTATTGTTTGATTTGCTGTTCATATCTCTATAGGACTCTCTGCTCCTGGCAGCTAAGAATAAAGTGTTAGGAAAATAAGGCACGTGAATTCAAGAGCAGTTCCTTGATGGTGTCAGCTTATCTACATCATCAGCATAATCCATGGCACGCCTGTGTTTTCCTTGAAGTCACAGAGGCTCTGTGAGAACCAAGGACTTGGTGCTGGGAGTGGGAACAGGAAGGGCAGAAAGTTACTGGCATATGGACAGGGAGAGATTCCAGCAAGAATGAAAAGGGATGAGCTGGGCTTGCAAGTCAGCATGGGCTTTCCTGCTGCACTGGCCCTTGATCATCCCTGCCAAGCATGAAGACCTGCATTCACCTTGGACCTGCCTGCTTTAGCTCTGCACAGTATTTATTTCCCCTCCAAATGAAACAGGAGAGAAATAAACGGACAAGGTACATGTAGAAGGGCAATACAGAAACACATCATCTATCTTGTCACTTATAGGCCACTTCTTTTATGCAGCTCAGAGGAAGGTTATTAAGGTCTTCTCTTTCTCTAAAGCTGTGGACTTGTACAAGGCTGGACTTGTACAAGACCTTGTAGGTAGCTGGCAATTCCAGTTGGATAGGATCCAAGCTACCTCCTGACTGCTGCCAGGCAGGAGAGATCCCACCAGTTTTTGTTCCATGGTTAGGTTATGCTTAGTTTGACAAGGCACTGATGGCAAAACAGGAAAATGGACCGCTGTTACCTAGAGCTCTTCTTATGGATAGTAAGAACTGTGAGAAGTACCTTAATCCTGAGAGGGAMCATGAACATACATGAACATTCCTGACTTCTAAAGGCCAAAGGATACAAGACACTTTCATAGCAGCACCAGGGGCTAACTCGGTCATCTTGGGCATCTGGTATGTTCATGTTTCTCTTATGGTTCAAGAGAGCAGAGGAGCCAGATTTGAATGTGTTAAAGGCAGTCTGGAAAACACAATCCTGTTCTGTAAATACCCGAGGCTGAATTAGCTATTTATCAGTGTCTCCACTTCCCTGTGTTTCTCAGTGTTGGACACAAGTAAGGCACAGATTTTGAAGGCSCCCAAATGCCTCACAGTTACTGCTGTCAATGCAGAAGTGGGGATGGGTGTTGTACAGTTAAGGCTCTTGTTATATCACAGATTAATTATCAAGTTTAAATCAAATGTAGGGTTTTATAATCGGAAGAACAAAAAAAAAGTCACAATTTTACTGACTAAAAAGCATCTCTTTAGAAAAGAAGCATGGGATAGATTATATAAAAGGTAGGAAAGAAAGCAAGAACACAGTCCTTCCCTAGAAATACCTTCTCATAAACTGAGTAAACAGGAATTGGGAAGTCATTCCTGTTGCAGTAATTAGAGATGCTACGGAGCAGGTTCCAGGATGCAAAACGGAGAGAGCAGCTTGGTAGAGCAGCAGGTTTCCTACCTGCACAGGGACAGGGATCAGCCAACGCAGCAGAATTCAGCAGAGAGCAGCTTGAACTCCTGCTGTTCTTCACTGTCAGCTCAGCTGCCAAAGGCAGAATGTGACATGTTCGGGGCCAAGGCACTGGGGATAGAGCTGTATGTACTTGTCGGRGCTCTGGAAAGCTCCTAGCTACGTGAGTCACAGTTTGTCAGGAAAGGTAAAACATTTTTGTAGATTGGAGAGAAAAAAAAAAGTTTGGGGGAGTATGGTTGATTTTGCAGGTTCCCTGCTTTTTTTTCCCCCCTTTTTTTCTCTCTCTTGGTTGCCTGGTGCAGCTTTTTTTAGGTAAATGGAGAGATCTTGGACCCATGGCCTAGGATTGTGATGAGCACTAGGCTTGCCATCATCACTTAGGCATCATCAGCAAAGATACTGCTCTAATTACTAATGGAAACTCTTTTACTACCTTCTTGTGAACAATATGCCCCATTGTAAAGGATTGGAAACTTGGAACAGCTTCAAAATTCAGTCCTCTCCAAACAGAAATTGAAATGAAATGGAAAACTTTCCAGCTACAGAGGTAGATTCTGGTACTTGCTCCTCTTTTCCCGTGAGCACCCATTTTCTGGAACAGCCCACTCTATCCTTATGCATTCCATCCTACCGTGTAAACAGGTTTATACAACTGCTGTTGCAAATGGATACACTGCCTTGCCACAGCTTTCCACTTTTTACCAATTGCTAAGGTGAGACTTATTTTCCATTTAAAATAAGACATTGCAAGTAGAAAATTGTACTTAATTGAACAATTTCTCTTAAGGGTCGTCTTGCAGAGAATATTTTAATTTTTGATTTCAGTCTTCAGGTACTCTGAACAGAATTTAAGGTTCAATTCTTAAACAGCTATCCAGGGATTTGAGGAGTCTTAAAAAAGATTTTATATAAAAGCTCAAAAAGAAACCCAAGACAAAGCCCTAGCCTGATGCTTTCAAGAGGATTGACTTTTTCTGTACAACTAGTCCACTTCATTTTTTAAAAGGAGCCTAGAAACCTGCCTCTTCTAGCTCTGGAATTAATATTTTCATTCTTTATTTGACTGAAAACATAAATACTACTAAAATACTATATGATACATGTCACCTCTGAAAAGTAGATGGTTTAAAGGATAATTCCAGTCATTTTGCAGAATAAACTCCAGGCCAGATTTTTCAAATGTGGTGAATCATGGCTCCGTTTCAAGTCACTGAAGATGCTTTACTTGAGTGCGCCAGAAAAATCCAGTCCTAACTATTTAAATCTCTGTTTAACACCTGCAGAAGGAAAATGAACCTGCAGTTCCCAGTTTGGTAGATGGAGAGTGATGTGTCTGCAGCCTCATGGGCTGCTCTGGGATCAAGAGGAAGATGGGACCAACAGGATGCTCACCTGGCACAGAATGCTGGCACAGTTTCTTTTCCTTTGGTAAGGAGGAGGAATTTTATTCTGGCAGRAGCAATCCTGCTTTGAAGACAACTAAGTATACATTTGTCCTCCACTATCCTGTAGAGTAAAACGATCTAAACATAAAGTGAGCAACAGTCCTTATCTGCATTCTGAAAGAAATAAAATACAGCCAGTAACTGAATGGCTATTTGGGTGCATCTGCAATCTGAAATGCTTTGCTTTGGACAAGGTTTTTTATAACTCCAGAATGAGCTGCAGGAGATAGCACCTCTGTGGAAAGATGCTTTCTAAGAAGATTGAGGAGAAAAAAGCATTTACATAACTGATCTTATTGAATATTTACAAGAAACTTCAACAACTCACCTGCCCACCAGAGGAAAGAAAAAGTAATCTAAACTTTTTTTTTCTTTGCTTTTATGCTTTTTATTTGTCATTGGCCATGGGGCTAAACACGGGATTCAGTTTAAGTTTGTTGTGATGTCTGCCTCAGAAATACAGGAGTYGATTGATTAAGAAGAAATCTGAAGTTTATTAAAGCAAAATATCAGTTTGGATTTAAATGGAAGAAAATGAGGGCGGGACTGAGACCTTAAGCCAGGATCAAAATTCCTACTGGTTTCAATAAAGCATGAGAGCTTTACAGCTAGTTCTGTAACCCTGGTGCTTCATTGGAGAGGATGTTTYCCCCCCCCTCTAGTTTTGTGTAATGAATCACTCTGAACTGAATAAATTACAGGAAGAACTACGTGAAGAATTGCAAAACGTGRAGTTGCGATCATTGCTGACATGAAAGGGAAAGGTGATTGCAGCTGTCATGCACCTCCACAAGGAGAATCCTTGACTCAGCTTTGAGCAGCACTTCAAATGCGTCAAGCCCTCGTTGCGTGCCGTGCTCCAGCCCGGCGCTGCTCGGCATATCAAGCATGTTCCCGTGCCAGAGTGACCTTGTCTGCCGCCTGTGCCTCACCCTGGCCGGCCGAGCTGCTGCAGGCTTCTCAGAGCAGAGTTATGCACAAGTAGAAGGTTGTGGAGCTCTACAAAAGCAGCCTGCAAACCCAGGGCCAGCTGCTTTCTGCGGCTCTTGCAACCAAGAAAACAGTGGATTTTCTTTCTTCTGAATCATTTCTATTATATTTGAGATCTGCTGATCTTCGGGTTGCCTTGTTAAAGCAGAAGAAAGAACAACCAATGTGCCTTAGAGTGAAGCATGGAGGGGCTCATTGCATAAATCTTACTGTAGACAGGCAGGGGTGGGAGGATGGCAGAGGAGCTGTGGGATGGATGCAAGAGAAATTCCTGTGGGGTGGTAATGAGGAGAAAAAGATTTTTTTTCAAGGCCTACGCTGTGTCAGATGACCCTCCTAAAGTGCCCACACTGTCAAAACATTGACTTTCGTATTCTACTAAAAATTAGTTTATTTTCAATGTTGCTTCAATTTTTGAAGAGAAAATGTAACGTCCTGGCTTCTGGATTGATCTACCTCAAGTACTAGGCAACGTTCATAGTTACAGATGCCAGGGAGTCCATCTGCTGTTTCCTGCTCTTATCTTGCCCCTTTTGAGCTATCCCTTTCTCCTCTTTAGGCTTGTTACCGTAACCTTCTGTAATTTTTCTCCTGCCTCTCCCTTTTCCCTTGTTCTGCAGCCATCCTCTGAGCCTCTCTCATCTGACCTGGGGCTCCCAAGCACTTTGGTCTAAGCATTGGGCACATCCTATCAATGCCTAGTGGTGGGAGAGGACTAGAGGAGATGATGGAAGCAGCGTGGACAAACAGMTGCCTGAAGGCAGGAACAATTGCTGTCTGGAGTCTAATAGCAGTAAATGTATATGGTAAGAAAGCAAACGCATAACAGCAAAATCCTAATGTGAAACTTCTTTCATCTCTGCACAACAGCTCTACATAACAAGAATACCAGTGCCCTGAGCATCTGAAAGAGAAAGTCAAGGTTGAAAAAGACAGCAAATGGGCTATTAAGAGTGTTTAGAGAATTGTGATAAGGTAAKTTTGGCAT